CTTGCTTTTGACGTGCTGTTTTTTTTTTTTTTTTTTCATTTCTTTGATTGATTGCTTGGTGGTGGGGGAGGAGTCGCCCCACCTCCCCCGCACGCACACACACATGCTGGGATGGAGTCCTGCAGTTCGGCAGGTGAACTGGCCCCCTTCGCAATACCTTCACAAAAAGGATACATTTAAAAAAAAAAAAAAAAAACTTCGCATTTGGGCCGACACTGTGCCCGAGGGTTCTCAACCGTTCGGTGTTCGGATTCAGGCATTCGGCCTGAACCGACCGAACGCTGGCCACCCTGATATTCACTATGTTTCTAAATCGTTGCTCTTTTACAGAGTTTGCTGGGTGTGTATGTCATACTATGTATAATAGTTCTTCTCGTTCTTATCACATTTGGAGCTGTTGTCTTTTATCCATATTTTGCTGCCTTGCAGAATGGTCCAACCATTCACACCGACCGGGTGGCCGGCCGTTAATATGATTCGGGGATGAAACATTTGGCATGACATGGAAACACTGTCTTTTCACTTCTGAGGTGGTGTTTGAGGGTTCGATAAACACTTGACAGGGTGTGGATGTCACACCGAACCAGTGGGAGCATTATTCTAGACAGTCTCTATATGTATGTGGGCGCACCGGAGGTATAACCACGAAAGGTGCTTGCACCTCTCAGGCTCTCACAGCTGTCTTACGCAGCGGTATATTTCTATTGTAACAATTTTTTGGTCATCATGCATGACGTTCTTTTGTGCGGCTGCATGTGTCCGAGGGTGTTGCAAGGTCTCGTTTCTTATTCACCACTCCACAACCACAAGCATGGGCAACGCGGATGACATAGACATGCGAAAGCGAGAAGAATTCCTAAAAAGTGTACGATAAGGTTGTAGACACAACGATGAACTATGTCTGCGAGGTGTCCTATAACTAGATGAATTATACCAGGACGTTAAGGTGCATATAGAGTACAATGAGCCTGCACTTGACAAACAGAGTGACACCAAAGTTGTGGAAGATTGGATAATTTATAGCAGGACATAATTGATAAATTCGTAACCTGGGTGGCATCGCGTTCGGATTCGCCGAACCCGAACGTTGGCGACCGAACGCGAACGAGCGCCAAAACCCTCCGAAAACGAACATAAATAAATAAATATATATATATATATGTATATATATATAAAATGCCGAACCCAAACGTTGGCGACCGTACGCGAACGGGCGCCAAAACCCTCTGAAAACGAACATAAATATATATATATATATATATATCTGTCTCTTATACACATCTAGATGTGTATAAGAGACAGATCTTACGTGAAAGTCGGATACAAAAGTGGAAGGCAGATGGGGAGCATTCTAACATCGCAGGCCTATCCCTGATCGACGTGGGCTGTTTCATTTTTCGGTCTTACTCCTCTTAACCTTCCTCTCCTCCCTTGTCCACT